GAACATCAACACATAACGTCTCCAGACGTTTGGCCCACGTTTTATTGAATAGACAGTAACCAATTAAAAAACTCTGGATTTCTATTTCCGCTCCACTACAAGAAATACAGTAACCCTCTAGTTTCAGATGCTCAACCACGTTGATCCATAACCCCAATCTTGCTTCCAGCCAGAGGATTCTGGATGGACGGAGTCATCGGATCATCTTATACCGGTTTGGATAAGGCCGCAGATCCATTCAACAGTTTCGAGACGTTCAAACTCTGAACTGATGAGTCGTCCCATGTCTACAGAAAGCAGTTTGTTCCAAATGTGAGTTAGGCTTGAATTGGGATTTGAATTGACCGCGATCGGCTTGTTTTAAGAGCCAGAAAAATCAGAAAACAGTTGAAATGAGCTTGTCAAGTCGAATTTCAACAATATATTTCCCAGGAACACCGCTTCTTCTTCGCCCACAATCCACTTGTTGGTCCACTGATCCTCAGTGTCCTGGCTCAAAAGATCTCCTCTGCTGACGCCTTCAACATCGTTCTTCGCCGCCCATATGACCGAAGTGCTCTACGAGAAAATCACCAGGACAGGAGTTGGACATGAATTACGAAGAGCAGATTCTAATTGGGAGACACGTGGAAATGACTGGAATTCGTCTTTCAGTAGTCAGTAAGTTATTATATGTATGCAGTTATATTTGTCAATTCTATCATTCCAGAAAGCATATCGATTCGAGGAGTTACAAAAGATCTGGAGAAGAAGAAGAAGATATGGATGTGGATGGAGAGTGGATAATAGCTAATTAAATGTTCATAATTTGATATATTTTTCCTTTTTTCTTTACACTTTTCTTGTCGTTGTCTTTATATCTCTCTTAGAAACATCTCATAATCTATGTTAGGCCCATCCGACGACCAAGGAAGTCACCTTTGAACCACGTAACGTTCGTAGACGGAGCTTCGGTTCCCCTACACCCGACCACTAGTTCAAGGAAGTTGATGAGGTTGTTGTTGTCTTTATATCTCTCTTAGAAACATCTCATAATCTATGTTAGGCCCATCCGACGACCAAGGAAGTCACCTTTGAACCACGTAACGTTCGTAGACGGAGCTTCGGTTCCCCTACACCCGACCACTAGTTCAAGGAAGTTGATGAGGTTGTTGTTGTTTTTATACCTCTCTTAGAAACATCTCATAATCTATGTTAGGCCCATCCGACGACCAAGGAAGTCACCTTTGAACCACGTAACGTTCGTAGACGGAGCTTCGGTTCCCCTACACCCGACCACTAGTTCAAGGAAGTTGATGAGGTTGTTGTTGTCTTTATATCTCTCTTAGAAACATCTCATAATCTATGTTAGGCCCATCCGACGACCAAGGAAGTCACCTTTGAACCACGTAACGTTCGTAGACGGAGCTTCGGTTCCCCTACACCCGACCACT